TTACCAGGTCATCACTCCATCTAGTGGGGGGTCACCCTACACTTCGCCTACCAGTACGAGGCTGCCTCTCGAGATCCTTTTTTCCCTAACGGTTCTTGGTTCTTCGAGCTATATGGCCGGCCCATTGCCATTTCAGCTTACGAATCCGTTGGGCTATGTCGGTCACTCCGGTTCTACTGCGGATATCCTCATTTCATATAGACTATGTTGCATTACATCAATCCTCACAGGCGACAATGCAGCTTCATTTTTTAAATATGGTAGAGCCTCACTGCTGCTGTATTATGGCTGCAGCATTATAGTCAACCAAATCTAAATATTTTGTCAGACTTATTGAACCAAGCATGCCAACCAAAAAATGGGAACGTACAATATTCGATTCTTAAAAAAATCGATATCGATTATTTAAATTTGATAATCATTTAGTTTGAATAATACCAGAATAAATTAAAAACGGATAATTTAAAACACTAGATTTATCAGTTTCTTCGTATTTGTTGTTACTGATTATTACTAGAGGCACAGTTATAAAAATTTAAGATTGAAACTAGATTAAAAATAAATTCAAATAATCACTTTCAGTAAAACTAGTAGGGATATCGTTGTTTATATTAATTATTATTTGATTTTCAATAATGAGTCAAAATTAATGTCTCTTTCAAAGTCATCCATAATCAATTTTTTTGTTTTTTCTACCACTTTTGCCCAATCATCCTTTGTGACATGGGCATATGCTACAACAAATATATAGCACACAGCCCACCTGATGGTAAGTGGATGCTATGGCGCATAGACATACATATTTATTCTCAATTAAGAATCAAAATGTAAATGCGTTGTCACCCCAGAGGTTTAAGAAGGAATGCCCCTATTCCAGTAAAATGGGTCTCCGGTTCTCTACACTCACCATACGAAACACAGCAGCATTACATTGCTATTTTACGCTGGTATTATGTGAGCGCGTAGTCCTGTCCTGGTTGGCCGGCCGACCCATTCATGATACAACTATAATATAGATGTAACGTGGCTCTACCACGTCAAACAGTCCAAAAAGTTAAAACAGAGTCACAAAATAAGAAGACAAACAAAAAATCACAAAATTACGCACAATAAGCTCTCGAAACAGAAACAGAAACTTTTTAATTCAATATAGATTATGAATAATACTTATTGAAAGTCACTTTTTTCATTTACCACTAGTTCGCAAAAAGAACCTCTGCCCTGGGAAGAACCAGCAAGAAACCTAACGGGACCAGTTTTTTTTTTAAATAAGAGCTTACAATCATGCGTGTTACAATTGACAACACAAAACAAATTTAGAAATAGCTTGGTAGCGATCACAGTTCCCAGCAGTTATTATCATCCATAAATTCCTTAATATTAAAATAACCCTTTTTATACAAACTTGTTTAATAAAGTTTCGAAACTTTGTGTACTTATGTCAAATGTTGTATATTTCTGGGATTTTGTTGTAAAAGCGTATGCATCGCCCCAATAATGAATTACTGACTCTGTGGAGTCGAGTAACTGGTACCGAAATGGCGGGATATTGAAATTATGTAGTGGTTATTTTAGCACGGCCTTGCATATGAGATTTTTTTGCCTACACAAATTTACTTTGACAAAGTAAAAAAAAACTTGTTTTATTCATAATTCGTGTAATTTAAGGAATTTTCAAAATAAAAACTAAATTAAACAAATAATACATTAAAAAATTAATGATTCGATTATTTGATAAATTTTACCGATTATTTAAATATTTTGCCGATCACTCGCATAACAACGAATTTTAATCATCCAAACACTACGGTATTATACATAGCATCATATCATTGAAACGACGTCAAGAAAAAAGTTAATACTGGTTATTTTTTAATATTTTGCTTTGTTTGAAAAATTTAAATTAGTAATAAAAAACTATACCCGTTGTAATGAAATATAGATAACTTCATAATTCTCCGGATTTACGTAAAAGGTTATTTTAAATCGTGTGAGTACGCTGGTGCAAAGTTATTGCGGAATGATTAATGTGAAACGTCAAAAGGCATTTCTTAGATTTGGTTGACTATAATTAGTTAGCTCGCGGGGAAGGTGTGATTTCCACAGGCCACCAGCATAAAACAGCACTATAATTCTGCTACACTTCATGTGGTGAGCGCAGAGAACCAAAACCCCTTTTGCTGATAATGAGACATTCCATCTTTTCTTTGTCCTCAGAAGTGACAATGTATCTACATTTTGGTTCTTAGTAAACAATGTGTCTATAATCCACAGCAAACACTTAGCATCAGATTGACCGTATACTTGTTTGTCACCCTTACTTCTATAAAAAAAAAACCTATCGAAAATGTCATAAGAGACATCACAATGTTTATTTGTCCACCAACATACTATATAGGGTTGATGCGGATGAGGAACTATTAAAATACGTTTTGAGGAAGAGGATGAGGATATGAGGAGGATGAGGATGAGGAAGAGGATGCGGAAGAGGAATATAGAACCTGTAGTGATTTGGAATTGAAATTTTAAATAAAAGAAAGATTACGAATGGGCCCTTTAATGTTTAGAAAGAAAAAAAGACAATTTATTAGTCAAAATTCACAATAGGGAGGTTGAATTTAACGAAAATTAACTTTGAAGCCGTTTCTCCAGATAGACGGTTTCGTAAATTCGTCGTAAACTAATCCAGCGCCACTGAAAAGGCGCTCACTGGGGACACTTGATGGAGGGGCTGAAAGATACTGGCGCACAGCTCTGTAAAGTTCAAAATATTTGGGGTTCATTTTCCACCACAAAAGACTGTCTTCTTGAAGACCTATTCTCTTTTCTTTAATGTAATTAATTATTAGTGACTTCAGGATAAGAAATCTGTCGATGGGTGCGATTGGACTTTCTTCATCGTCACTATTAGGAGCCGAGGCCAGTATCTCAGATAAAATAGATTGTAAAAATCTGCCTGTAGAAAAGTTAGCTCCAGAAATCGTTGATGGTAGGCTCTCAGTATCGATATGATGAAAGTGTTGATTGTGTTGAATAACATCATGTTCGAATGACTGTATTTGTGATTGTGCTTGTGCGCCATGGCCTTCTTGATCTTGACATAAAGAAATCAGTTCGGACTCAATACTTTCTTTAGTAATTTCATTAAAAAACTTAGTTTTATATTTTGGATCTAAATAAGTAGCGATTGTGTAGATCCTATTATTATGAAATTCACCAAAGCGATTGGTAATTTCTTTTATCAATTTTTGAATAATTTTCCCGCAAGTTTGGTCAGTATTATTTATATTCTGTCTCAGTAGATTCTGCAATGTGCAGGTCAAGACATGGATTAGAGGGATCACGGATGAAATACAGGCTTCAGAACTACTCAAGGTCTTGGTGGCCTTTTCAAATGGCTTAAGGATTGTTGCACAGCTCTCAAGTTGTAGCCAATCGTTTGGAGTAAACTACGGCAAATTTGTATGTTGTGAGGTATAAAGTACTATGGCATCCTTTATTTCAATTAGACGTTGAATCATATTAAACATACTGTTCCATCTTGTAGGACACTCTTGAATCACTGAAAGCGGAGGCAGACCCAGACGTTCTTGAAAACCTTTTAATTCGCTTTGGGCAATTATTGAGTGGTTAAAATGTGTCGCGATTTGCTTACATTTTGACAACAAGGACGAAATATATTCATCAATCGCCAAGGCCGCACGTATGCACAATTGAAATTGATGTATATTGCAATCAATGTCGTTAATCTGTGACACGCGGGCCGCTCTTTTCATGTTAGAACCAGCATCGCGAACCATGATATGTATTTTTTGACGGGGAATCTCCCATTCCTCTCGTATTTCGTCCAACTTTTGTGCTATCACATCGCCCGTATGTCGTTCCTCGAGTGGGACACATTTAAGAAATAAAGATACTCTTTGAAAGTCATTGTTGATACCATGAATTGTAAAACTCAGCAACGAAACTCCTGCTTCTGGTTCAGTCCATATATCAGTGGTGAAAGATAAGTATTGCAAATCTTTAATTAAGTTTTTTACCTTGTTCCTTTATTTAGGATAAATATAATTACACAAATGAGATGTGTAACTTTGACGTCCTCTAATTATATTTTGGCTGAACAGAATGAATCAACCGTCTAAAGCCAATTCCTTCAACAAAATTAAATGGTAAATCTTGAAAAGCTAACATTTCGCAAATTAAATTATCCAGTTCGCAGCTTTTTTCGTGAGATGTATCCCAATACTGATGTCTTTGTAACGCCTCCTGTAAAGTTACTTGTCTCTTAGCCTGTTGAAGAGGAGTCTCTTCCGACAATTTACGTTTATCAACCGCGGCTTTTTTAATGCTGTATCCTTTTGTTCATACTCGGCATATTCTACTTCATGGCGTGACTTGAGATGACTTCTTAACCCCGAAGTCCCGCGCCCTTTCCTTGAATATGTTTGGTCACATATTTTACATCTAATAGTATCAGCGTCCACGTCACTAAAATACGTCCATATAACACTACATTTTGGCCTCATCTCATAAACTTTTTAACGTAACAATAAACTTAATTACGACTTACGTAGTTCTAGTTACGTACGAGTGTACGACCACTCATAAACAAAACAAATTTAAGACTGGCTAAGTGGCTACAGTTGGATGGGTACGTACACTACAGTACTACACACACACAGTGAGTGACACACACAATAGCGTGCTGTGTTATATTTCTAAAACACGTTCAAGCTTGATCGTAAAAGTACCTAATGCAGCGAGCAAAAGACGGAGATTACTTTTATTTACATTGAATACGTCAACAACACTACCTCATATTTTTCCTCTTAATTAATGAGGATGTGGAAGAGGAAGAGGAATATTTTATGCCTGATTTTGAGGATGTGGAAGAGGATGAGGAATCGCTAAAAAATGAGGAACTTCCACATTATGAGGATGAGGAAGAGGAATCCTCATCAACCCTAATACTATAAATTACTTATAATAAAATATGCTACCTTAAAAGTAATTCCGGAGCCAAATAATCAGGAGTACCTAAAATTCTTTGATCTGATACTTGATTGCCACGTCTCACACTTTTAGGTGTTCTATATGGAGTATGTGCAGTTGCTAATGGAGTTTTACATAAATCAGTTGGAGATATATTAGTGGCCTCAACCTGAAATGTAACGACATGCCAATTCACAAATCTTTTCACAATTGAAATCAACAAGTCATAAAGTAAGTATTCAAAAAAATCACCTTACTTAATCTTCTGGTAGGGAAAATTTCTAAACTAGTCGAAACATGTTTGCTAAATGTAAAAGACTTCTCCTTTGTTCCAGATAATGATTCATCAATTGGCAGATTGAACCGAGTTGCTTTTTGCTGCTTTTTAGAACCCGGAGATTTATTATTTGATACTGGCGTGGAAAATATTACTCCCACATTAAAATGATGACTGTCATCTTGTGAAACCCACCTTCATGAAGATTAATGATAAATTAATTTAAATGTAAATTAATTGCCAATTAAGGTTGTTTAAATTTAAATTTTAGGAGAATTACACAAAAAATGTCAAGTATGTGTTTTAATGCGGTAGTGTTCCGCTGTGCAGATTATTAAGCCAGCAGCCCTTTGCCAATGTAATGCTAATGTAATTTAAATATTTTAAGTTTTTATATTTATTATTATATGAAGAACTTCAAATTTATCAAAATAAAAGATGTTCAAAATTAACAACTAGAATATGTTATGTTTCGCAACAAATTAATTTATAAGATAATTTGTAAAAACTAACCTTTTCTTTAATACACCTTTTATTGGATTTTTTCTCCTCTCAGGTGTTGGATGTATAGATATTCGTTTAGGTGTGTTTTGACTGAGTTCCAAGGCCATAATCTCTTGAGTAAGACCACTGTGGTTTTCTTTACATTCTGAGAGACTTGTTACACCAGTTGGCGTATCTCCATCACAGTCAATTATTCTCTTTCTTTTTTTTGCTCGAAAACTAGAATAAAGAATTTTAGCACAGAATAAATAATAGTACTACATACAGAAGTTGCACTCCTTTGACTGCTTGCCGACGTTTAATAGTTTACATAATTATTATTAATTAGATAAATAAAAAATTTACAATGTGCGCGAATGTCCGTATTACTTAGTATCTTTTCCCCTTCCTACGCAAGTTTCTACGTTACGGCGGACTTTCAATAAAATGTAATGAACCTACATTGCGAAATGGTAATTAAGTTACTAAGGTGAAGTACCTGTTATGACTATGATTGACTAAACATATTTAAGCACCTATGTGAGTTCTGTGACGCCCAACGCATACAACTTGCAAAGCCGTTCGTCGGGATTCGCGATGTTGACTCGGAAGAAATAGGTAAATAGTGTGAAATACAAATAAACCCGAAAAACGATGCCTAACAGAAATGTATATGTTTGTACATATGTATTTTACTCAGTTAAAAATCATTTTGGTAAACAAAGTTTTAATTTCAGTATTTTGTGTTATTATAACTTAAAATATTGTAATTACACTTAAATTATTGTAATTACTTGGACAGTGAAGTAAATTTCAACTAAGTTTTTTAATAAACTACTTAGGTATTACTTCTGTAGTCAAATTAATACCAAATTTTTTTTGCTAGAAGTACCTATGCTATGTAACAAATTATAAAATATGAAATAAATTCACCTTTTATAACTTCCTACTAAAATCCTTCACTAACCTAAAGAATGATATATCTGAAACCTTTTGTTGGTCTTTTAGCATCCATCCTTACAACAATTATAGTAGGAATGACGTTTTGCCATTATAATTTATCAAATAGGTTATTATACATTATATACATACACATATATAATTTTCAAATTACATTAAAACTTTTTCAACTATTTTGTCCTACAATTAAATATACTAAACACTAAATAAAAACTATTTCAACAAGTATTTACCAAAAACCTATTTACGTAAACAGCGTTAAAAACTTTAACATTAACTAGCCCCGACTGCATATACAGCGCAGACAGTCTCACAATAATAGGTAATTATTTCATGCAGGTAGCAAGAGTGACAGAAGCCTGCTTTAAGTCCCAAAGTCCACTTGATAATTGTTGATCTGCACAACATCTTTGAGTAGTATGTCCATGCCTCTGGAATCCAACTGACCAACAACAGTAGATAATTTTATTGAAATATCTTAATATATATAAATTATGTGTAATGTTGTTTGTCCGTGATGGACTCCTAAACTACTGAACTGATTTTAACCAAATTTGCACACCATGTGCAGTTTGGTCCAACTTGAGAGATAGGATAGTTTTTTTGCCTATGTGTGACCCACAATTTTTTTGCGAATTTAAGGATTTTTAATAAGACATAACAAAGGGTTGTTGAAAAGGGAAGAACAACGTCTGCCTGGCAAGCTAGTTAAATTATATAAACAGGTGTAAAACGGGTCAAGATGGACCTATTGAGGTTCCTTATCAGCACTACCACACCCATTGTTGGTCAGCAAGTCTCATTTATTCATTACAGTCCATTAAAAGTCCACTGCTGAACATAGGCATTCTGCATTGATTGTCTCATAGGAGGATATTTGTCTAAGTTGTTTGGCAAGTGGGATGGCAACTGCAATTTTTATTATTACCGAGTTGTGTGAGAGCATAAAAATGGTGCTTCATCTTTTCCGACACACAAACAGCACCATAAGCTATTGAGTAGTGAATTCTCTTATACTGCTATTACACAGCACATGGCAATTTATAATAAATTAAACAAACATAATTAATTAAACATAAATAAAATATGCATTGCCTTCCTAAACAGTCCCAATACCCATATATACATACTAACTCAATATTAACAACACACACACCACTAAAAATGTTATATAATGGCATTTTGTTTAACTTATTTACTCTTCTGAGAATGTAAGGGAACATTATCCTACCTAGGTATCCTTTTCAAAGACTGGCCTCTGCATATTGGAGATATTGGCTGATTATGCGGAGTGTCTGACAGCACTGTTGATTCTACTGAAGAGCCGTTATTGCTGCTAACATCAGTTGACTTGTTAGTCTTTGAATTAGTACTAGTTTTAGAACTTTCACATGTATGGTAGGAACTTGCGGTCTCTGATCCTGAATCTAGGCACTGTAAGGAGACATTTATATGAATTTTTTGTGTTAAAATTAAGTAATATAAATTTAACACTATTTTGCAGTTATTGTCTGGAATATTGGTTATTCTAATTATCTTATAGTTCCTTAGATATTTTGCTCATTTAGACATCAACATAGAATTTCCAATACCTCCCTTAAATTCTTTAAGGGTTGTTCAGTCATTGATTGTAGGTATGTTTACATCAATAATTAATGGTGTTTAAAAGTAATTATTTCATAAAATATTTGAATATAAACTTTAAATACTTGCAGCTATTTCATCCAAGCTAATACTTTCAGCGCTTATGAAAGGATGTATTCCAGATAACTGTGAATGGTCCACTAATGGAGAATTTTCCAATCCACTGAGCCCCTCAAACATATCTTTCTTTTTACCTGTAATATAAGCACATTAATAAGAGTGGAATAATTGTAAAACTGTTAAAAACTTAAGCAGTAATATCATACTAGTCTCCCTAAGTTCATCAAGAAGGTTCTCACAGGCATCTACAATAGAGCTGTGCTGGCTGTCTCCTCCCCCTGAACCAAAAGACAGGTGTGATGTCAATGACAGTAGTTGTCCAGGTGTTCTCATGTTTAAACTTGGTGTGTGAGTGACAAAATCAGAAATCTCCAAATCTGGAAACATTGTAAAAACTGTTAGTATAAAAAGATATAATAAAATAAGTTCAAAGTGATTTTTTAAATGTACCTCTGTGTATTTCAATTTTGGATAAACCAAAGTCTGTGAGTTTAACATGCCCAGTCTTAGATATTAACATATTATCAGGTTTTAAGTCCCTATGAATTATATTATGTTTGTGTAGATAATCCAATGCTAGAGTAACTTCAGCAACATAGAAAACTGCCATTGATTCTTCTAAAAATCCATAAACTCCCAACAAAGATTTTAAATCACCACCAACCATATATTCCATGACCTAAAAGTGATAGATTATCAAGTGTTTAGCTATTATTATATTACTTATTACTAGCTGGTACCTGGCATCACTGCCGCAGAAGATATAAATATGGAAATACTTAAAATCTGGAAGAGTTAGAGTGAAACCTGGTTAAGTGGGCCCTGAATATGTGACAAACCTCTATTAATTATAACTACAATGAGGCCCCGACACTTTTGCATTGAAATACCTCTGTTACTGGAAATTTTCAAAACTAATTGAGATTAGAATTTTTTTGATGATAACTCAGTATAAGTGAGAAAATTTACCACATTTAGACAAGTTATCATATGCTTGTTTATAATTCACTAATTTCTTCCATACTTGCTTTGTATATCAGTACTCTCTTTATATGACAAATGGTCTATTTCAACCACGTATAGTGGGACCCTCTATATACAGAATGGGTCCCACATATATGCAATAAATGAAACCATATACTTGTATATCGCCTTTGCTGACGATATACAAAAAATTAATGTAATCGGTCTAGTAATTAGGTCAAAAAGTAGAGTTTTAATTTTAAGCAAATTTGAACACTCTATAGAATTGGGTCACTAAGTCAATGATTCAATGAACTTGAATCCTTGAACATTAAAAAGCGACGTTGCCACGCAGTGCAAACTATTGGTATTGCGACATATCGACAGCGGTGTCTTTTGTCGGCGTGCCACCCGCGTGCAATGTTGTCACTCTTCCAAGGGGTCAAGGTACGTTGTCTAAACAGAGTGTTCACTTTTACTGAATTTATTTTAATATTTATTTTGTTTGAAAATTTCACTTTTTTATTTTACGGGTTTTAATTTAATTTTTCTACACTTCTACGGACTAGTATTACTTGTGGTTTCATTTATTGCATATATGTGGGACCCTCTATATATAAGCCAATGTCAAAAAATCTTTAAGTGATAAAAAATTCCAGGTCCCTTGAGATTCAAGATAACCAGGTTTCACATATATTGCTTCATTAGGAATGATAATACATTTATTGAAATTGGTTGATATATTTTTCGAGACCATAGGCTTATAATACTACTGCAATGGACAGGTCGTTGAAGAAACAAAATAGCAGACTCATTGGTGTTAAAATATTTATGGAGCACCAACGCGAGCTTATATGCATGCCATGCGTCCAAGCAGTGTTTCCACTTTTAGATATTTTCACTATTTAATGGAAAATCAACTAATATAAGTAGGGCTTTAGACATTTACTAGTGACAAAAATTAATTAAGCATAAGAAAATAAAATATATAGCCTCTCCCCTGAGTGTCTACACTCACTTAGCAAATTTTTATCTGTGATACAATAACTTTCTGAAATGAAAAGTATGATACATTAAACTATTTAGAAAATATATTAAAAAAGACTTAGAAATTCTTACCAAGTACACAGATGATACAGACTGTAATGAATAAAACAAATGTACACAAAATGGGCTTCTAGACAAAGCCAGTGCATTTCTTTCTGTAACAACTTGAGCCACCATATTTTTATTTATCATGTCAGATTTCTTCATAACCTTTATTGCAAACATTTGTTCCTTATTATTTTTTTTGTGGGCAAGAAATACCTTACCGAAAGCACCACGACTGATGGGCTTTACTATAGTAAAATCGTTGATATCTGGTGCCTGAACAAAGAACAAACGTCTTATTATTGAAGTAAAAATTACACACAAACTTTAATCCATACAGCGAAATTATAACAAATAAGATGATTGATTCCCCACCTTATTTGTATTGATATCCTGATTATTAGCATTGATTTTTTCTAAAATTGTGTGACGAACAGAGTTTTCGTCATCTACTTTTGAATCGTTTGATGTCATTGTGAAATTTAATAATACATACACTAAAAAATACTAAAATCAGGACTTTCACATTAAACGTATTTTTTATTCTATAATATCATAAAATAAGAATTTATACACTTCATGAAAATAAATCGTGTCAAACTTGCAAGGTAATTTGAATCATTTGAATTTTGAATCAAAGTTTGGCAGTTGCTTGTGTTTGTTACGATTAAGGGATGTTCGATGATCATCGATGTTCAATGATTATCGATGTTAAAAATTAAATCATTGATGTTTTAACATCGATGTTGCCACATCAAACATCGAAACATCGATGTCATTGAACTTACAATCTATTATTGGAAGGTTATTTTCAAAAGCTGGCTCAACTCTTTATCAACAAAGAAACGGAATGAAAGGTACTTCTTTGACAAAATTACTATCTCATCAATCAATGGCAAAAAATATTAAACTGTATAACAAATGAACTAGATATTTGTTTATTCTTCCATTTTTTAATGACTTGTTTAAGCTAAGTAAATGTCTATTTTTGCGCAAAAAAACATCGATAATGATCTTCGATCAACAATACCAACTAGATGATGGGTCACGTACAAAACCAAAGCTAAATACTGTCCGCATGAATAAACTATGAAAAGACATCAATGAAATAACATTTAGTGTGTAACATTTAGAGCTCACGTCTCATTTGCGCTCTTATTTACTGAGATGGATTTCTTGCGCTGACCCGACATCTAGCTGGTATTGTTGATCGAAGATAATGATCCACATCGATGTTTTGAGTAGGATAAATATCGAACATCGATGTTGAGCTATCGATGCCAACATCGATGGCATAATCGATATTTCTGCAACATCGAGCATCCCTAGTTACGATCTCTCGCCAGAGAGTATGAGAAATGAGAGTAGTGTTTGGTTACGATTTGCTAATTAAGGTAGGCAAAGGTCTTAGACTATACAGCGTATTCTGATGTATATAATTCTTTACAATATGATGTATTATAGTCACAAAATAAAAAGAAGTACTTGCGTAGTATGATCGACCGTTGAATATGGTTTGACATGTCCATGCACAGTGTCAGGGGTGGAGCGGTCATTCGCGAGCTCGGGAGCGGATGCCCGTTCCATCAGGTACATACACTGTCATACCGTGCATATACATGTCGAACCATATTCAAAGGTCAACCGCACTCGTGAAATACAAAAAAGATACATTGAGAAGGTTTTTCGAGATTTAACACATCATTAATTATACTATAATAACCAAACTAAGTAACTACGGCAAATATCTCCCCTAAAAAGTAATTTACGGGGGAGGCCTGTTCAGCAGTGGACTTTAAATAGTTATAAAGTTATAAGAGCAACAACTTTCTCTTTCAAATTTCCGTGAGCTGTTATTGGATGGATGGCGCTGCCAATGTGCGGCACAGAAGGAACAATGGTGTTTTGGTCAGTGCGAGTCCGACATTAAGCGACCGCGCCCGCACAAGGTAGGTATGCGTAGGCATTTTCTCATGTATAAAGATTTTCTACTGGATTGTATTGTTCTGATTGCAGCATCAGATAAATGTCACCAAATTATTGTACTGGTATCATAATTAAATAAAGTAATTAGTTATTTTTTAATAGAGGAGCTAAACGAGTATGCGGTTCACCTGATGCTAAGTGACTACAGCCGCCAATGAACAATTGAAAAACCAGGGGAATTGCAGGTTCGTTCCCGGCTTTTGAGAAAGGAGTAAGCTCTTTTCTTGAAGGTACGGAAAAATCGCCGATGCTAAACAATTCCACAACAATTTGTGGTAAAACAGGCAGTGGTGAACCGCCAGGCACAGTGTGGGTGGTATCGTTAGTTTTGGCGCGATGTGCGTTCGTGATATTTGGCGGCTGGGATTAATCTCAACAGTTTCTCAGAGCACTCCGCGTGGTAGATGCGACAGAAAATGAAAAGGGGTGCAGCATCCCTTTACAGCGCCAGCGAATCGAGCAAATCAGAAAGAACTCTTTCGTCGACGATTCGAGCCACTCTGCGTTGGGTGCGGTCAAGTGCAAGGAGCTGACACTGAGGTGCCCGGGGCACATATGAGAACAGTAGTCTATGTGAGGCCGAACTTGCGCCTTGTAAAGTTAAAAGCGGGGTACCGGCATGAAATACTGTCCTGCACTGTTGAGCACGGCAAGCTTTTTAGAGACCAATTTGACCTGTCTCTCCAAGTGACCACAAAACTGCATATAAGTCGATATGTCGGCGCCTGAGATTACAATGCTAGCTGAGGCAGCAAGGCGAAGGCCTTGAAACTGAGGAAATACAACAAAAGTGTTTTTTTTTACAGGTAAACGCATAAACTTGTGTCTTCTGGGGCTTAAACTGGACCACATTTAGTCGCCACAAACCGGATACAAAAGTGTTTTTTTACAGGTAAACGCATAAACTTGTGTCTTCTGGGGCTTAAACTGGACCACATTTAGTCGCCACAAACCGGATAGTCTGTACAACAAAGTAAAAAACCAAAAACACCAGCGTTAATAGGCTTGTAACCAGAGCATGCTAGCATCATGATAAGTAAAGCACACCGCACATCCTGGTTTTAAGAGCTAAAGAAAATGCTGAACTGTACAAAATAAAAATAGGGAAACTGCTTCCGCAATTACCCGGCAGGGAGCTAGCGAAACCTGTTAGCCCATACACTCTACCTCATCCAGCAGAACGACAAAAGCTATCATACAGTTCAATCACAACCGAAGACGAATTAAAATCTTTGGAAAACGAATGGCCTTGTATTTACACGGATGGCAGCAAAATAGCTGGTAGAGTAGGTGATGCCATTACCTGTTGGAGGGAAGGCCAGGAAATATACAAAGCAAGATTGAAACTAGGAAACCACTGTAGTGGGTATCAAGCAGAATTAGCTGCCATTTTGAAAGCCACAAAAGTGATACACACTCAGGAAAGCGAACATCTTAAGTGACTCTCAATCCGCACTCGAATGTCTAACAAACCCTAATACCCTACACCCTCTTGCAGCAGAAATCTTGGACGGGATATTAGAAATAAAAAGAAATCAAGGTCAAGTGAGATTTTTCTGGATAAAGGCACATTGCGGGATTCCAGGAAACGAAAGGGCTGACTACTAACTACTAACTAGCCAAGTCAGCTGCTGAAACTTCTAAGCAAAAACCAGCATTCGACTGCTTCCCCCTTTCATTCGCAAAGCGCCTTATCAGGGACAACACTTTGCAAAACTGGCAAGAACGTTACAACACAGCAGAAACCGGCGAGTGACGAAGAAATTCTTCCCATCAGTAACTCAGGCATATAAGACCATGACGAAAGTTCATATTAATAACCTACGATGTCAGGTTTTACCGGCCATGGAGGATTTAAAGCGTATTTGCATAAGTTTAAGTAAGCGCAAAGTCCATGTTGTGATTGCGATCAAACTACACCGCAAACTATAGAGCACATATTAATCGATTGTCTCAAATATGCAGTAAGAAGATTTGATTGCGAACGTTGCATGGGTTTTGCGCTCAATGAAGATACTCTAACAAAGGTAATCAACGACAATGACAGTCGCATTCATTTCCTCGGATTTGCCGAGTGGTGCCCGAAAAAGGTACTAAAAGAAAATGGTTCCAAAGTGTATAATTAAAAGATTTAAAAAAATTGAATTAAGTAATGAGTATGATGTATGATAATTAATATGTAAGAACGTTACGTTAATAATTAAGCATGCTGTATGTATTTATAGAAATAAAACTAGCTAGTATCATATTTATATTGTAACAAAACAAATAGCAGGTGTAATCATGAATTAAGCTAGCTAAGCTAATATAAAATGATATATTGTTCTACCAGCAAATAGCACAGTTATAATAATAACAAAAAATAGCATAGATACATGTATGGCAAAGTTAACACCGAATGTTATATTACTATGGCAAATGTTATATATATATATATATATATATATATATATATATATATATATATATACAAAAAAATAGAAGAATTACAAACACCCAGAAATAAATGGTGCTGTAAAATAAATAACAGCAGATGAATTGAGACTTAAAAACTTGAAAAAAAAACCAAAGCATGCACCGTACATACCTTGATGCTCCGATCAACAAGGAAACTAGTGATCCAATTGCACAATTGTAGTGGTAGAGCCACGCGGCAGCTTTGCTGTTGCACGTATGGGCTGGCTCAAACTAGGGTGGTACCACGACCTACTACCGACGCGTGAAATGGAAGCTCTGTTTCCGCGTTTCGTCTGGTGAGTGCAGGCAGCCGGAGGCCCAAATCCCCCCCCCCCATCAACATGGTAGCGGGATTAAATGATGATAAACTACCCCTTGAGGGTACCAGCACCCCTGGAGAATCCCTCGCTGTGCATCCACGACCATGTTTCTCCACTCTTGAGCGTGGGTGCTCAGGCTGGCCCGCGTATTCTGGGGGGGGGGGGGGGGCACAATTCCGCTCAACACTACAACTGCTCGGGGCAAAGGGAGCAACAAGACAGAGGCGACCCCTGCCACGCTATCCGTGAATTTCTGCAATATCAGGGGACTTCACTCTAACCAAAACGCCGTCCACATCCATCTCGAGACAGCGAGGCCGGCTCTGCTCTTTCTGACCAAGACGCAAGTGTCCTCTCCGGCTGATGTCCCGTATATCTCCTACCCGGGGTACAAACTGGAACACTCCTTTGTGCCTCGGGCTGGAGTTTGCGTTTCTGTCAGAGAGGACATCTGTTCTCGACGCCCCGGCAGTCTTGAAGGTTCGGACAGGTTCGGTTTGTCCGGAGTGTGATGCCACTCACGCTGAAATCGCAGTTGCATTCTGCAGGCTGCAGGCTGTCAGGCCGTGTTTGGCACTATTGGTCAGCCGATTAGGATGGGATGCGGTCTTTCTTTGCATCCTACCCTTGGGAACGAGTTTGATTCTCGCCGGACGATCCCAACACTGTTGCGGATTCTGTCGGTGATTTGGTACTTCAGGGTATGGAACT